AATAGATCTGATTTCATAGCTACAAAGGGTATTTGAGTTTATTTGGATATAAGGTTTTTATGTCTGTTCTTGATGCTCTAATTCTTCCTATATGTTTGAGCAGGAAAGTCTATAAATATCAAAGCTGTCTGAATTTCTTTAGTCTCTTGTCTATTGCTTCTCAATCTATACATGACATCTTCAGTGTGCTTCTTTCTGTGGTAAAGTGTACCCACGCTATTGTGTGCTTGGCCTTTCCTTGGCTCACCTTGAATCTTCAGTCTTCTGCTTGCTTCCCCCATGAAGACCAAGCAGGTCAACCTGGGAACAGGGAACCTAACATGAAATCAGTCTCAGCTGAATCATCTGTGAAGAGAAATTGAGGCTTCCAAGGCATGAATAATAAGCCATTTTAGAAGTGGATTTTGGTATGGAAATTTTGTCCTGAGCCTGTTTCTTGCCTGTCTAAAAATGAGCCTTGGTGACTAGCTCAGACATTGATGACTAACATCAGGAGACTGAGTCTCTTTCTATGATTTTCCATGTTTTTCCTGCATTGCTTGTTCTTCTCTCTCTCCATAAGTGGGATATAAGCAGGGCAGTTTCTCACACTGCGCCAGTTCAGAGAAGCTTGTCTTGCTAGCTTTCATTGGGAAAATAAACAAAACACCCCAAACAAATTACCCAGCCCCAAACAAGATCATCCAAGCAAGCCAGCATGATCTATCACCCTGAGAATTTGCTCTGGAGAATTGCAGGAGCATGGAGATGTTTTTTGTATGCAACACTGTGTGTGCATGCAAATGCGTATAACTCCTTCCTTTCCAGCTCTGTGTTTCTGGCTGTTGCACATGTCTGTGGCATAGAATCTGATGTCAGGGATAAAGATTCCTCTTTAAGGGGCTTGCTGCGTATCTTGGGTAGAATGCCAGTGTTAAATAAAATGTTGGAAGTGTTCTTAGAGTTTGAAGAAGCAGCAATCTGCCTGTGGTATGTAATATCGTTATGATTCAGTGTTGTGCTGAGCAAGACAAACATGAGTTAAGGTTCTGGCCTGTGGTGAAATAAAGTTGTATATCACTTAGGCTGCCAAGGTCTTTCCTCACACAGACTGTGTGTTCTTGGTGAAACACAGGACTGTGTTGGTGGATGTGATAAGTCTGGTGCTGCCATCCTTGAGTGTGGAGTATTGTGATGCTGTTTGGGTAAACATTTGCTATTTACCTTCTGATGGTGTTTCTGATTTGAGGCTTTCTAAACAAAGTCACAGAGTCTAGTTTAGAAAGGAGACATTGTTTATTCTGTGCATGGTGCTCAGTGGAAGCCTCCACAAATTAAACACTCTGATGATTATAATTTTAAGCTTTTACAGATTTTGGCAAACAAAGAAATTATTTTCCATTTGTTGAGAGTTATACCATTTGTTAATAGGTATTCCACCCCTTATTGGTTAAAGGTCTCTCTCACTTTTCATGTTAATCAGGCATGCAGGCTCAGTCTTTCTCTTCTTTTGAATCAGTGGGTTTCTTGAGTTGGTCAGTTGCCCACTGCCAGAATTAACTTTTACCTGATTACTGCCCATTTTCTTCTGGGTAGTCATCCAAAGTTTAGGGCCTGATGTTCCTTGTTAACAGTCCTGCCTCATTACCCAAAGAAGCAGGATACATGTTTTTTACTTAGAGAAAGTCTTTGTACATTACTGCAATTATCAAGCGGAACTACAATTGGATTAACATTGTTTCCCAAGATGTTGTGAGCATCGATGGTACAGCCTTTTCTTTTTTTAATGCTAGGTCTAAGCTGGCTCCTGAGCATAGGCAGATTGTCCCAGTGCTCAGTACCCATTCTCAAAGACTGCACCTGTACTGCACTCAAAGCCAAGGGTGAAAACAGAGATGCTCTTGGATCCTGCTGGTGTGACTGGGCTTACACTTTCAGGGTAATACTTTATGTGCTCCATCAGGACTGAGAGCGCATTAAAAGTTATATTTACATGACAAACAATGCTGTCCCCTTCACCTTCCTGAATCCCATCTGCCCTGTGGCAGTGTCACATGCCAGTCTGCAGGCAAGCAGAAATTCTAGGGTCATGCCTAGGAAAAAGCCCTGTTGTCTGCTGCAAGGGTACATAAGCATCATTCATGTGGGGTCGGTAGGGAACTTGAACATTATGTGTTTGTTCTCAAAAGCACCTTAGCTTTTAGGAGGCTCCTGGTACCTGTCTGCTCAAATAGGTGCAGAGGTTGCTGGGACTGGCTGAGTGCTGTGCCTGTGTTACTGAGGTGCCTCTGTGGTAGATGCAGGATTCTGAGTTCATATTCATGCTAAAAAATGAATTTTGTCACCCTTGTCTTGAGCCTTGTCTTTGTCCTTCTGTTTTGGATCATGCTTCTGAACTGCTCTTGTGTGAAGTTCTCTGCATAGGACTCTAGCTCCATTGAGGCACAAGACCAGCCCATACAAACATAAAGACCTATAATGATCTTAATTTTTCCTTTATTAGAGTAGGTGAAATAACACAAGGACATTGCAGAAAAGGCATACCCTCACAGTACACCCTCATGGTACATTGAAGTCCATCCCTTTTGAACCAATGTGTTAGAATGCTCTGGTAGGTGGAAATGCCAGAGATTACTCATCACTAAAGAGCCAGAGCACGGCTTTAAAAATGGAAGATTTTGGCACCAAACAAACCTCATTTCTTTCTGTTGCTTAGTATTCAGCCTTAGGCCAAAATAATTTCCATTGAAATCTGCTGTACTTGCTACTAAATTTGTTTTCTAAAGGAGATGAACAGAAAGTGTGTGTATATATATATATGTATTCAATTTTAATGCATATTAGAAAATGCTTTATTGTATGTTTTATTTAGTAATTCAACATTTACATCTGTAAATAATACTAAAAAAGTGAACTGGGCCAGAGAAACCTTTCAGGAATTGTTTTGTTCTATAGCTTTAAAACTCAATCATCTGGTTAAAATTCAAAGTGAATGCCTAGAATAAGTAGATGAATAAATAAATAAATGTTCTTGAAATTAATAATATCCTCCTTATCTCTTTATCCAAAATCACCTAAAGGCTGCAAGTTCAATTTAATCCTTCTACCATCAGTCAGTCTAAGCTTTATTTTGTATCTACGGATAATTCCTTTTTGGCCAGAGGACTCTGTACTTTATTTTTTTAGACTATCACTGTGGTTGTCTGACTGGAAAAGCAGAGGAAGCCCAGATAATGTGGGCTTTTAGTGCAGTATCTTACCTTTTCTAGTGACAGTGACAGTTACAGCCAAATCAGAAATTCAGATCATGTCTGATCTCCTGAAGAACATGGGGCACAACATCTTTTCTAATATTTCTTACCACAGGCCCACTGATGTTGGTTGGAATGAAGTCTACATAACTGGAGCCCTTTTTGACAGGAACATTGGAGGATATCTGCCTCCAAATCTTTTCCCCTTAAGTGCCTTATTCAGTTTGAGCTGTCATTGGCAGAAACTGGGCTTCGCATGGCACAAGTGCAAAGGACTGATTCTTTTGTCTTTACACATAGTTGTTGCATTAGATAATTGATAAGGTCTGAATTTCGGTTTTTGTTCCCTTTTGCTTGCTATGCAGTGGTTTGGTTGTTTAGTTGAGTACAAATATGGTAAGAATTAATCAGGCTTCAGACACTGCTCAAACAGCCCTTTCCAATCACCTTTTTAAATTGTTCTATGGTACAGCTCTGATGTGGCTGTGGAATCTCTGTGGTCAAGGATACTGCCTTCAGTATCTTTATTCAGTGAGAGCGCATATAGTTTATCTTCCCAGTTACAGTTAGCCATCCATCATAACTGTGCTGTAATACACATCACTAGGTTGTGAACCCTTCTAATCTGAACATGGACCTGCCGCTGATTTGTAAATCCACTTACTCAAAATCAAATCAAACATAGAAGCTTTTCTCAAATTATATCATTTTCCCATTAAGGACCTAAATTTGGATATTACAGACATTTAACTTTTCCAGCTCTGTTATCTACCCCCTTAGCCTGCAATCAAACCTTGTTTTATTAAGCCAGAATTTATTTCAGATGAAATTTATTTGAAATCTTGTTCAAAACACTGCCTGCAATTTATTTCTCTCTGATCTAGTTTTAAAAGAGAGTAGTTATTTCTCAAAGGGTTTTTTTTTTTCCCGAAGAACCAAACTTTCTCAGAGTTGGAGAAAAGGAGCTTTACATATGCTTTGATTATGAGTGAGTGGATTGTGGGTAATAAACTAATTGTATGGAAAATAGGGAGAATGGTGTTTCTGGCATTAAGCAGAGTTAGTATGAAGTAAACCTATGTCCGAGACCTAGTGTGGAGTTGCATGGAACAGCTGTGCCATTTGTTAGCCAGAAGGACTCCAAATTATCATTATATTGCAAATTTGGCTTTCAAGAAGAGCCACTTCACTATCTTTAATGTTTAACCAATGAGCAGATTGATTTCTAACTTATCTCAAAATTTAGAACTTGTTCTGAACATAAAAGACATAAATTAGGAGCAATTTCCTTTTCTTTCCCACACAGAAAAGAGATGTAATCCGCACCATAAAAACGACCTTGAGTACAGAGTCACTACCTATCACATTATAGTCAACTGGTCTAATTTGTGTCTGATGCTGTTTAATGTTAGGTATTTACATGTCATCAATCAACTGCTTCCTGTTGGGCTGGAAAAGGCAGGGGTACTGCCAGCTTTGCCATATGGCAGCCAAAGTGAATGTGTTGTCAGCTGAGAACCGGAAGCACAAAAATGTTTGAAAAGGTTTGGAAGAGCCAACCTGTATTCGAGCCTCAGGAGCTCAGTCTGAGTTGAATGTGAGGGGAGAAGATTGCCTTATTAGCCTTCCCTGGCAGCGAGGCTGATGGATAATTGTACAGGACAATGCATTTCTGTCCTTTAATCTGAACTGATTTTAATACTTTATTTAGCAGCAGTCCTTCGTCTTCTTCCTCAAAGCTTAAACTTCCTCTCTCTGTCTTTTTTTCAGCTGTACAGCTCCATGGACTTTGGAAGAAAATGGCAGCTCATGCATGAGCGGGTCACTCCAAACAGGTTTTACTGGTGAGTTATGCTCTCAGGCTTTGTTTGTTTTGGGCAGATCATCCAGGGAAGAAGGGCATCCAGCTTGAAGGGATTGGTTGCTTTACCTGAGCATTAAGTTAATTAAGAACATTAAGATCAACCTTGGTTTTGGTCATCATTAAAATTATATGCTCCACAGTACATATCTTGCAGTGCTATAGTCTCCATATTTGTACATCTTTCTTGTCTGGTAACAATGGTGTCTTGTACAGATGACTGCAAATCTTTTGATAATTGCAAAACTCCTGCTTCTTTGTTATAACCTACTTACAGTAAGACAGAGAAACTGCCCAGTGCTTCAGTGATAGAGCTATGATCATTAGACCTCCTATTTTTTAACCCTTCTGAGAGCTACTTTAACCTACAGCAGTCTTTCTGCAGAGCTGGACGCTCCTGACCAGTCTCCTTCTGCAACTCCTGGGGGAAAGGGTGATTCAGGCTCTGCTTTGAATCACTCTCTGAGGAGCCAGTTTCTTTCTACTGACTGGTGAAAGTCCAGGATCTGTGAACAGTTTGCTAAAAATCTGCTTTGTGACTATCTTTCCTTTCCATTTCCCAAGCGTCAGCTTCCAAAATTGGGAGAATGTCTTAAAAGCAGATGATTAAACAAATTTAGTTCCTGTCTCCAGGCTCTTCTATATCAGATGCGGCTTTCCCAAAATTCTCTCCACCATGAAGGCCCAAGAATTTATTTCAGAGCAGAAGAGAAAACCCAGCAATATTCATCTGTAGTTGAATCTAGGGCTGGGGCTTGAATCATGTTCTTAACACTGTACTTTTTGCATGCAGGTGATGGTGTGTGCATAGAAGTGCTGCTTGACAGAATCTATGAATAGTCAAAAGGAGTGCCTGGTCTTTAAGGCCAAAAATGATCATAATATTAAAGACCAAGAGGCTCTTACTTTGAACAGTTAAAAAGAAGGACTTGGATGACTTTAAGAATTGACTCATAATTGCAGAGCATGATGTATATCTTAGAGTCAAATCGTCATAGAATTTCTTTCACACCATTATAAGTATCTGAAACCCAGGCCCAAAATATCTATAGGTTGTACCTGCAATATTTCCACACCTTGCAGTGGAGATAGATACCTCAGGGGGGTTTCAAATTGCCTAGGTCCTTCTGCAAATCTCTTTAAACAGCTTTAGACTCCCACATTTAAAACATGGGGTTTTGACATCAAGGGAGATTTCCCTTAGTGTGCTTGTGGATTTTGGACAGTATAAGAAGTTTTTTCAACATGGAGGAAAGGAAGTTGTAGGATTCTTCAAAATGTATCAAAGATCTAGGACCTTTTCTGACCATGTTACTGTTTCACGTTTCCATAGTGAAGGAAAGGAGGTTATGTTCTCCTGCTTCTGGTGGCAGGTGGTTGAATGACCCAACTATCCAAAATCCTTTGATTTCACTATTCATGCAGGGTGCACATGAAAAAGATGAATGTAGATCCTCTTCAGGTGCGTCCTTCTAATGAGTAGAGTAGATGGTCCTATGGGATAATTGTACTTACACTTCAAATACTACAATTGAGCTTAGAGGAGAGGCTTTCTTAGAAAATAGAGTGGAACAAAGCAGAAAATCTTTCTAAAGGAGAGGCTGTGTTGTGGTTTATTTTCTACTTTCATATAATAATGGTTAATGTGTCTGTTTCAAGCCTCTTAGAAAATGTAGACGTCTTCTTTAGTTAAAACTCATATGGCATAGACCTAGAAATCTTTATTCCACTCAGAAATATTGTCCCATTGACAATAAACTTTCCAAGAGAGTGAATTAGGTTTTTCTCAGAATAAAGAGATATGAACCAATCTTTAATGCAGGGGTCAGAGGTGTTGAAATTTTGGAACATAATAACGCTCCTTAGCTGATTTCTTTCTTTTATTCTTCTTTTCTTTTTAAAGCTGCAAACTGTGATGGCTTATAAGCTCTGGCTTGTAAGATGTGTACAGAAATAGAAAATGCAAGGAGAACACTAGCTTCAGGAATTTGATGATTCTTTTTATTAGGCTATGAGAGAGGAAGAAAGTAGGTATAGCTATAAGTTTCAAAGGGACATGATTCTGTGGAGCTCATCAGCTTATCAAATACTACATTACCAAACCTCTTAATTAAAACTTCCAGGTAAGGTTAAATAATAATGATAGGAAGATGCCAAAATCAGAGGCGAAGCTGCTCATTTGTGCTGCTGTGCATTGTTTATTAGTAGGGACTCAGGTAAGCATCCTTCATCTAATGGGACAGTCTTCATCTGATCTGAATGCAGCTGACTTTATCTGGGGCAGCCTTTGTCAAATGTTTTTGTCTTCAAAGCATGAGTTTCATCTCTCAGGCTACTGTGAATGGGCTTGTGAAGTCTGTAGTCTTCACCAGGTTCACAGGATCAGTCAGCATGACTGGGAGAGGTCTTACTTTTCTCTTGGAGACTTTTGCAAGTGACTATACCTTCCCTGAGAGAGCTCAGATACAGACACTTGAAGGCCAGGAGAAAATTATGGTTGTATCAGAACTTGTGAGGTAGGGATGTGAACTTTCACTCAGCAGAGTAAGCAAGACCTCTCCATTAGTTGTGGGCATACAGGTCACTCTGCATTTTGCTGTAGCTCTGGCAGGCAGTGTCCATGAAGGCTCCTCACTGGTCAAAAATAAAGTCCTAAGCTCCAGTCCTGATCTGTGGCTTTGTATCCTGGATCTTACCTTCAGTTTCTTTCCTTAGTCCCAGATCTTTGTGCTAATCACTGGGTTGCAGTTTTCTGCTCTCATCCCATATGGATGTCACAAGTCCTGCAGTTTATGGGGTATGTCTCATCAGTTCCTGCAGCCAGCTCAGAGTTTGTGCATGAGCTGAGACTCACTTCTGGGCCGCTTATAGTTATAAAACCTAGGATCTGAGATCTCTACTTCTTGTAGTAGTGATTCATTTTTTTTAGCTACACCCACTGATGGCAGTGGCAGAGCTTGAACAGAATGTGTTACTTGATGTGAGTACAGGCATCCAAATTTGGCTCCCACGTGCCTTGGCCTCAGAGATTTTAATAACTTAGGATCCTGTACAGATGGAAATAGGAACTTACGCTAATGTGATACAGAAATTCCCAGCTCACTCATCACTCTGAAATTACTAAAGGTAACTGAAACCAGCATGGGTGCAAAGTTTGTAAAAGACCTACTCTGTGTTCTTTTCTTTCAAAACATTTCTGCAGCTCTCTCTGGGCTGTATTTTTTCACTGTAACTTAGACACCTGTGCTGTCATGTGGAGGGATATAAAAAGTACAGTCCATATTTTGTACTGTAGGAATGTAGCAGTTTCCTCAGGCTGCTCTTTGCTGGAGGGCTCATTCATGTTTCGCTAGGGGATATGAAGTGGTGGATATGGAACCATTTTGCTGTTGGATTTTTTTTGCCTAGTACATTTAGACATTTACCCTTTTTTCTCTTATTTATATATTTTTAAACATGCTCTCTGTGACTTTGACTGATTCTGTTCAAAGCCTGGGAGTGGGCAAGTGGGGAAAATGCATTTGTGTGGAAAAGAAGAAGAAATCTGCACATCGTTTCTGATGGCTATGAGGAAATTTTGAGCTCTGAAGTCAGTGCCCAGGGTGAGCCTATCCAGTAAAAGACACTGAAATACACACTAGTGATGAGAGCTGGGCAAAACCACCACAAGGCAGGAGGGGAGAAACAGTAGGAAGAGGAAAATAGGACGTGGCTTCAAGGAACAGCATTTGTAGCCGCAAAGAGGAAAAATGTGGTGTGTTGTAGTGTAATAAGCAGTTCTCAAATACACTGCTGATTCCCTCCCCAAGTCTCCCAAGAATTTTACTTTTTGTCTTTCTATGATAACCAACCAGATTTCTGGTTGTTTCAGTATGTATGAACACCAGCCACAATAGTTTTGGTCTCCAGGGATTAAAGACTGGGAGAAGGGAAAAGGCTGTGCTTTCACTGGGAGAAGGAAAGGGGCTGGGCATCCACTTAGGATATGCTTTGGAATTATGGGTTTTCTGTCACAGTTGTTTGAAGCATGAGCCAGTAAATTTTGTCTCTTGAGGGCAAGGTTTTCAGTCCTTTTTATCATGATTTTGGATGGGAACAGTGATAAAATTTAGCCAATGTATTTCCATTTATTTGAAGTTTGAATTTCACGAAGAGTAGAGAGGCGGGTTGGATATTTGAGAGTAATTTAGCAGAAGATGAGGGATTTATCTCAATGTTTCAAAATGATCTTGGTTTGTATCTGCAGATGGGCTGAGGTTTGTGTCTGTTTTTATTTCCTCAGCCCTGATAATTTTAATTCCAGTGCCAATTTGGGTCCACACAGGCTGTTTCAGCAGCAGTTCCAGAAGTGACCTTTGGATACAGCTAAGGTTACCTTTATGTGTCTAGTTTGCCAGCAGTGAAATGGTTAGTCAAATATGTGCCTCTCTCTCCTGTAAATCCCACTAATCATTGACAGATGGTGTCACTGCATGGTGCTGGGGAAACCTCACCCAATTTTTTTACAGCCAAGTTTAGTGTTAAGAAAATATAGTCTTCTAAATATCAAATTGACTATTAAATAACCCTGAATTAGAGTTTTTTTCAGTATTAAAACCATATCATAGGTGGACCTCTGGATAAGAAGAAAAATTCCAATTTGGCAGCTGTAGGATATCACCACCTATAGCTTCATTGAGGCATATACCCCTAGACTGTTCATGTAGATTTCACAGGAAATACTGAACAGGGACCTATTACTGTAGACTCCTGTGGGCTAATGACTTGTTTGCCTCTGTTAAGGGATTTGCTTTCCATGCCCTGTGGGTGAGAACAACTGGAAAAGGTTTTTCTTCCAGAGGATAATACTAATATAAATCTGGAGTGTCTTACTCAAGCTACCATGACCATGAACTCTATGTACTAGGCTGGGGACAAAATTTTCAGACTCTAGCCTCAAGCTCTGCAATAGGACTTGAAGAGAGATGAGACCTTCTTAAAAGT